CTCCCCTAGGCGCTGGAACTGCGCTACTACGGCAAAGGCTTGCCTCGCCTCATGAATATTACACGCGTCGCGTCGAGTCGCGTCGCGTCGCGTCGCGTCACGCTGCTGTCTGATTAGCTGACGGCTTTGAGACGGTAGGTAGGCGGGAGCTGTGGAAGGCTAAGCGTTCAGGCGCTTCCCGGGCCTTTGCCATAGTGGCACTCCTCCAGACAGAAAGCGAGAAACCGGGCCAAATGAACACCATCCCTGGGAAACACTGGCGCGCATGCGCTTGCTGTCTCTCTGAAGCGAGGTCATGTTTATTTGGACACTTTGTGACGCCGATTAAAAGAAAAGGAAGTCAAGTTTGATAGAGCGCTTTTAAAGGACAATAATGACCATATGCATTTGTTTTATTCATTAATATATGTAGGCCTATATATCAAAATATACATTTAATTGGAAGTTACGATTATTTTATTTTTGTCTGGGAAAATGTCATATTAAAAAAAAAAAAAAGAATCTAAATAGACTTCATAGAAAGAATTTAGCACCCGTTTAGAGATGTCATGAATACAATGTTTTAGATGTTTTTGTTGTTGTTTTATGTTGTTGGGGAGTCACTAGTTACATGTAACAGAATTAGGTCATTTAATTACAAAATTAATGTAACTAATCAGTTACAGTTACTACGATAAAAAGGTGTAATTCGATTACAGTTACTTATGAAAATGTTAATGATTACAAAAGGGGTTTGCAATGTTTTCACACATATACAGATTTAGTTTATTTCTTTCCTAAATTGCATTGACTGCTCTAAAATATGAGACAAATGTTTCAGGAGTTTAGGAAACATGCTCATTCAATCACTTTTATTTCCTAATTGGGTTTATGTATATGCTTTATTTGTATTTTTTTTTTATTGTTTTCCCAAGGCATTGTTAGATATCAGTGTTTCTGTCATAGCTGTGAAAAGATTTGATTTCAGAAACAGTATCATAGCTACTAAACTATATCTTGTGATTTTAAATCTGTATTTATCCTCAGAATGATCTTAAGGTAAAAAGAAGTGCTAAAGTCTGATTCTGTGGTGACTGTGCTTCAAAATTAAATGATTATAATCTTACTTCGAGTGATGAGGGATAGTGAAAGTCTGACAGTAATCAGAGCACTACTGTAATGTTACCCTGCCTGCTTTACATGCTTCAATATTATTAACTGTTGAAAACATTTGTAAGAATTTCAGAAAAGTAATCAAATGTAATATGTTACATTAATAAAGTAATTGAAATAGTTACACTACTTATTACATTTTAAATAGGGTAACTTGTAATCTGTGACCTGTTACATTTGCAAAGTAACCTTATTCTCAACACTGGTTGTTTGGTGTGTTGTTTTATAGAAGGTCCAGTCCTTGATTAGAAATGGCTGAGCCTCTTTGGACACTGTTGTAAAATACTCCGTAAACACACCCCTGTGACCTCATTACTTCAGTATTACTGTTGCTGTGTGTTTATTTTATTAAATCTGTGTGTGGTAACTGTTTTATTAATGCATTAATCCACATGAAGCTGTGGTCTACACAGAGGTGATCTCAGAACAGTTTAAGACATGACCCAACCTTCACATTCACGGTGTGTGTTTATCATTTTACACAATCATGCACACCAAGAACGCAGTTTTTAATTATTTAAAATATTTTATTTAATTTTTCACTAGAGCAGGTAAAATGCCGGGATTTCCGGGAACTAGTCAGAATATAGGTTGTGGAAAAGTGCAACAGCCCCGCCCCTTTATTTAAATAAGATGGAAATCCCACGGCACAATAGAGAAGAGCTGGTAGGGCTCACAGGCAGGTCAAATACAGCACCAGGTACATTACTGCATGATAAAGTGTCTCTCCAGATGGATCGAAAAACAGTATCAACCAAGTATAGCAAAAACTGACACATTATATGTTTGATAATACATTGGCTAGTGAGGCTTTTGGGACACACACACACACACACACACACACACACACGAGGAGATTTACAAACATCACCTACACACACACACATCTTAAAAAGCACACACAGTTTTGCAAGTTCCACAGTGACTACATTGCAGAAGCTATTTAAAACGAAGTTATTTTCATATGATGTGTACAAACTCGATAATAGGTCAACATGTCAAGTTCAAATGGTGCAAAACAAACAACATAAGGCAAAGTAACCTGTTGTTAAATGATCCAACCTACAGTAAGCGTATGATATACATAAACTAATTCTATGTGAATACACAGCGATTAAAGAAACACATTCTTGGTCAAATGATGGAAGCATCTGTAGTCCCTGGGTCCAGGGAAAAACATAAGCATATCTTTTAATCTTCCAGGTTTAAACATACATAATGTACAAGTCAGAACTATGATTACTATTTTACACAGTTACTTTCAGTTTGTTCCCTTCACCGGACAGATACCAAACCAGATGATTGATGTTAGACGTAAGCTGTCATTCACTTCTGCTTGTTCTCAGCATAATCAGAGCAGAGCTCTTCATACTTCACACACTGTGTAAGAGTGAATGCTGCGATTGAGCCGCACGCTGTCGCTGTCAGACGTTCTGCCACCCACAAAAATGATTATAATCTTACTTCGAGTGATGAGGGATAGTGAAAGTCTGACAGTAATCAGAGCACTACTGTAATGTTACCCTGCCTGCTTTACATGCTTCAATATTATTAACTGTTGAAAACATTTGTAAGAATTTCAGAAAAGTAATCAAATGTAATATGTTACATTAATAAAGTAATTGAAATAGTTACACTACTTATTACATTTTAAATAGGGTAACTTGTAATCTGTGACCTGTTACATTTGCAAAGTAACCTTATTCTCAACACTGGTTGTTTGGTGTGTTGTTTTATAGAAGGTCCAGTCCTTGATTAGAAATGGCTGAGCCTCTTTGGACACTGTTGTAAAATACTCCGTAAACACACCCCTGTGACCTCATTACTTCAGTATTACTGTTGCTGTGTGTTTATTTTATTAAATCTGTGTGTGGTAACTGTTTTATTAATGCATTAATCCACATGAAGCTGTGGTCTACACAGAGGTGATCTCAGAACAGTTTAAGACATGACCCAACCTTCACATTCACGGTGTGTGTTTATCATTTTACACAATCATGCACACCAAGAACGCAGTTTTTAATTATTTTTTATTTTTTATTTAATTTTTCACTAGAGCAGGTAAAATGCCGGGATTTCCGGGAACTAGTCAGAATGTGGAAAAGTGAAAAGTGCAACAGCCCCGCCCCTTTATTTAAATAAGATGGAAATCCCACGGCACAATAGAGAAGAGCTGGTAGGGCTCACAGGCAGGTCAAATACAGCACCAGGTACATTACTGCATGATAAAGTGTCTCTCCAGATGGATCGAAAAACAGTATCAACCAAGTATAGCAAAAACTGACACATTATATGTTTGATAATACATTGGCTAGTGAGGCTTTTGGGACACACACACACACACACACACACACACACACGAGGAGATTTACAAACATCACCTACACACACACACATCTTAAAAAGCACACACAGTTTTGCAAGTTCCACAGTGACTACATTGCAGAAGCTATTTAAAACGAAGTTATTTTCATATGATGTGTACAAACTCGATAATAGGTCAACATGTCAAGTTCAAATGGTGCAAAACAAACAACATAAGGCAAAGTAACCTGTTGTTAAATGATCCAACCTACAGTAAGCGTATGATATACATAAACTAATTCTATGTGAATACACAGCGATTAAAGAAACACATTCTTGGTCAAATGATGGAAGCATCTGTAGTCCCTGGGTCCAGGGAAAAACATAAGCATATCTTTTAATCTTCCAGGTTTAAACATACATAATGTACAAGTCAGAACTATGATTACTATTTTACACAGTTACTTTCAGTTTGTTCCCTTCACCGGACAGATACCAAAACAGATGATTGATGTTAGACGTAAGCTGTCATTCACTTCTGCTTGTTCTCAGCATAATCAGAGCAGAGCTCTTCATACTTCACACACTGTGTAAGAGTGAATGCTGCGATTGAGCCGCACGCTGTCGCTGTCAGACGTTCTGCCACCCACAAAGCTCTCTTAGCGTAATGTGTGTTTCTATGCCTACAATACGCATTTATTATTGCGGCCTGTCTCAAATCAGGAGATCAGATTCAAACTGAAGACACTCACTGATGCTTCATGAAAGCCTAAATCATCTAGAGGGGGTGAATCTCACTAAACATGTCAAGAACATGTCATGCGTCACATTTCATCGCAAGAAATAAAAAGAAATTATATTGTCATGAAGAAAATGAAAATAACGTTAGAAACAAATTCACTACAAAAGTTTATGCATCATTGGAAGTATTACACTTTTTTGTATTACAGTGATGAGAATAAAATGTTACCATTGAGAATAATTGATAATTACAAAAGGAAAAAAAGGAAAAGCACCAAAATCATTAGAATTTTGGTGGAAAATGTGTTTAATTGAAAGAATCTGTGCTCTTAAAACAGGCTTAATTTTCTTTATGCAAAATATAATTTGTGTGTGTGTGTGTGTGTGTGTGTGTGTGTGTGTGTGAACTCGCTAGGGTCTGGGCTTACATTCGTCCAAAAAATGAGAGGTGGAAATCTCTTAGTGGGCTTTTTAGTCCAGACGGACTCAGTCCAGAGATGGGGGGCATTGGAACAAGCCCAAAGTCAGTCTTGGACTATAACCAGCTATGCAGCACCACAGGAAACAAGGCAGTGAGCCTGTCAAGTTAGTCTTTCTTTAAAGAGAACGTGTGCACATAGATGGAGCGCATGTGTCACTGTCTTATTGTTGCCGC